GGTATCGGATTTGAAGCAGTTGCATTCGTATTTATCCAGGGACACCAGCCGAAGCGCTAATGTAGCTACCATGAAACTTTTTTTTGGAGCGCCTTTGCACATCCAAGCCTACAAGATCGTCAACAGCTGGCAGGCGAGGGCCTGTGGCAAGGAAGGAATGCAACGAACAAGATCTGGTCGAAGAATATCAGAAGCGATTGGAAAAGCTTGAGGCGTACGAGGGCGCTTGCTTACATTATAGCGCATTGGGTGAAGATATTGCAGAAACATCCAGCACACCAAGAAGGCGTGCTGTTCACAAGATGCAGGCCGCTCCTCAGGATGTTGTCAAAGTTAGCGTGTCCTACCACTATGGAGATGATAGGACCATACGCACGAGGAGGTTTGCTGAAGGAATGGGTGCGCAAAAGTGCGCCCGAAGAGTGCAAATGCACTTGTTCCATCACAGCAGGGACTTGGACATCGCAAATTGCTGTGTTACAATCATGTTGCAGCTTCTTGACAAATTGAAGCCAAGTCCGGAGATGCCTGCGCAGGTGAAGGCAGTCCTTGTCGAATGGCATCAGTCCAGACAAAAGGTCTGCGAAAAGTTGCTGCAAGTGGCCTACGCAGAAGGCAAGGCACTTGTCAACAGAGTCTTGAACGGCGGCTCTGTTCCGCCGAAGCTTCAAAACAATGAATGGCTGAAACGAATGCAACAGGCTGGTATTTACCTGAGGTGGTTTGCGTGCTCAGTGGTGAAGGATGACTATAAGGAGATTCTCCAGAGTGGCCAAAAAGCTTTCCCTGCTGCAACAGCTTTCTACTATCTTTGGACCTCAGTAGAAGACTACATTCTGGAGCACTGGTGCGAATTCTTGAAAAGACTTCAGCCCAGCCATTTGTCGTTGCATTTTGACGGTGTGCGAGTGAGCTCAGATGTCTCCGAGGATGTTGCCAAGATCATTCAGGAATCTGAAGAGCACATCCGAAAAAGCACAGGCTTTGATGTTAAGGTTGTTGAGAAAAGGCATACGCACGTGCTGGAGGCAATCAAACAAAAGGCCAAGTCATCGGCGACGGGTGAGCCCGATGAATTTCCAGATGCTTTGAAAAAACATGGAAATTGTATTCCTTCTTCTCTTTGGCATTTAGTTGCTTCCAAGAAGGACCTAGTGAGAAAGATTGAAGCCGAGCATCCACAGAACACCTACTGCCTAGAGCGCGGGCATCGAAGCTACCGGCAATGCTGTGAGCTGTTTGGAATTGAGCTCGGAGCTACACTTGGGATTTCGTCCCCGCCACCACATTCATTCCTTCTGCACACAGAGAATGGAGGTACTCCTCACTGCGTTGCCGTCAAGCTAGACAAAGGAAATGCGACCGTGCATGACCACGACGCGCGCTGGACGATTAGCATCGACAATCTTCTAGCTGCCCTTTTTGAAGGGGTAGATTCACACACAGTCGTTACCTTCACCATTCAGAATGACCATTGTGCCCCAAGTGACCTATTGCTGGACCTGCAGACCGGCAGCTCATCATCGGAAGATGAGTTACCAGATGCCGACAGCTTGATCGTGAATGATGAGGGGGAAGTCTTCGTGCACGACAACTTGAAGGATTCGATGGAGGAGGAAGTAGCAAGCTTCCTGCAAGAAGTTATTGACGACAACATCCGGAAGATTGGTGGGCTGTATCGGTGCACTTTATGCCCATTTCGATCATTTGCCAGGCTTCAACAGCTGCGTGTACATATAGAAAATTATCACACATCAGAGGTGCAGTTTGCCTGCTCCGGTACAAAACAACTGAAGGTCATTCTTGCTTTACACGATGACGATTGCATTCGCAGGGCCAGAGGCTGTGACTTCTTGTTTCGAAGTGCTTCGCTCATGGCCCGCAACTGCGCCCCTCCTCTCTCACATCGACAGACCTACATCGACAGAGAAGTTCGACTTCTATTCACAGCAGGCGGCCCTGTCTACGTTAACAAAGCGGCTTTCGGCACAACCATCTTTGCCCGCAGAGTCCTCAACATCTACTACGACAAATCTTTCGCCGAGGTCTTGTACCGCGAAGTTGTACTTCATCATTCAAATGCTCCGTGGCCTGAAACGGGCTTGGGCTTGGGATTTCTCGAATGTTTTTCTTTCTGTTTGTGTGTCTTTAAAGCTTGTTCATTACAGAGACAGCCCATTAGATTAGATTCAAAGCTCTCTGCAGGTCAAAAGCGTCTGGCCTCGGCTACAACTTCGATCACTGGAAGCTGGCAATCCACTAGGCCGCCTCTACCCAGCCCACAACAGGGATTGGTGGCCTGTGGTAGAGGACATTTTCGCGTGCAAGCACATTCGCATCATCCTCAACTCTCTCACCACAACGTTGCTGCGCAATTCCGAGTTCCTCTACTTGTCTGTGGATGCCACGCTCAAAATATGCGCTGGGGTTGCAGGCCAAGCAAGCTGGCGCAGCTCCGTAAAGGTACGAAATCAGGCTGCCTTTGGAGACGATGTGGCCTACCGGCGGGTTCTGACAGTACGTGGTCGGACTGGTGCAGTGGTTGCCATGGTGCCAATCAGAGGCGAGGTGGTAATGGTTAGGGCAAATAGAAAGGTTCAATGCGCCCAATGCATTGATTGCAGCCCAACCCTGACAGGTGAAGATGCAGATTGTATATCTGAAGCTCTGGCTACTTCTCTGGACACTGAGGCACTGCAACAGGTGCTGTATATAGCCACTGATTCACCTTCTTCGAAGCTCTTTTTTTACTTTGAAGAAATGCCTTGTAAATCTGCGTGCTTTGTCGCTGGATCCGGTGCACTTGGCAATTGTCTACGAGTATGCCCATTGGCACCGTAGAACGTCTGGTTCCAAGGTTTTGCAACAGCTCTTGAACAAGGTTAACATTGTCGATCAGCGTTGTTCAGATAAATCTTGGGGTTCTATGTTCTGTGGCTCACATGCCAGTCCCCTGACAGCGCAAGAGGAACGATTGCGGCATATGATTTTGAATTCCTCCATGCCGGAGCGTGCAGCGAAGATTGTTCTGGCCAGGCTGGATCCTGCGACCCCTTTGTTTTGCAGGATTACATTCATTGAAACTGTGGCTGCTATCGCGCAGCAGTACGAATCTGAAGTATGCCGCAAGGTGACGGGTCAAAACAAGGAAGTCCGGCAAATACTTTGGGCCGCGTGTGCCCCAGACCGATTGGGCTGGCTTATGAACAATTTGATGGTTCGTCACGGAATGGAACCTTGGCAGCGGGCTTTACTTCCAAGCGGAACTTCGTCGAATGAGGCCCTCCACGCTCAGATAAACACTTGGACGCGTCCAATTCGCACTATGCATCGCAGCACACTGAGATTGAAGCTGCAAATCATGCAGTTTGGGAAATTGCTGGCGCATCAAACAGCATTGTTTTTCCCAACAAGCAGACAGATGCCGGAAGGAAGCTTGCTGGCACAGTGTGTTGGAGTTGATGTTTGGTGTGAGGAACAGTGGAGGTGTTGGTGTCGGATTAACAAAGCAAAGCTTCCGCTGCACTCTGCGCGGAGGGATGAAGTCCAGGCTGTAAAGGATTGGCGCAGCGCCACAACATGTAAACCCAAGACGGTTCGAAAAAGAGCCAAGAGAACCGTTTTTACATTGGCTCGTCGCCACAGACTGCGTAGAGGCGGTGTCAAATGACATTCGACTTTTTGCAACCAGAAAAATGTTCATTGCGTCAGCTGACAGACAAGATGTCACGGTTGTAGATTTTAAACTGAGCGTATATATGGATGGAGATTCAGGCATACGCGTAGTCGCATAGAGATGTGTTTGTGGCGTATGAAAGAGATAAAGGAACAGTGAATAGTGTGAACCTCTGTGCTATTGTGGATTGAACGCGTGCGTGATGGTGAAACTGAGCAACCTGGTGTAACTGCACCTTTTGTGATGTCGAGTTCCCTTGCCCCACTATAGGCTGTTAGCAGGTTCGGTGAGGTCATCTTGAAAAATCTTGAGGGAAGTGCTGTCACGCTTCGGAACCTGCCTACCTTGTGGAGATCTGAAGTCTTGGGACGTGTACGCGAGCGTACAACAAACGGTGATTTGCTTGCAATGATTTGTTTCAATCGGTTGGTTGGATCTACTGGTCATGAGTTCAGCCAAGTAGGGTTGCTCTTGGAATAGGGCAACGTTTGTTGGCGGATCTTCCGCCACGGGTTTAGTGCTTTGTTGTGTCCTTTTCTCTTTTTGATCCGCCCGCACTCTCCTTTATGAAGGGGTCTTCATTCGTTGCGACCTTTTTGGTTAAATTTTGGGGTGGTAGGTTTCTTCTTTGAGCCACCCTTGCACGGCTGGTTTGCTGCGCTGGTCCCGGTCTCCTTTCTTCCCGTACCAGGGTTGTGAGTTAACAAGTGGTGCATCTGGCATGCATGGGTTTTGTTTCTGGTGATGTGATTTCTCTTTCCAATTTATTTTGGTTCATCACCTTTCATTGCTAAGCGCATCCCGACTACTATTACTACTATTTGTTGTTTTAAGGTAGTGTTGACATGGTAGACTGATTCGAAAAATTTCGGGGACAGCAAATAGTATTTGTTACAAAAAGGATAATTTAGCTTTTTCTATATTTCTTGCAGATGGTGGAGTTATAGTTAGGTTTCACTGCGTGCCATATCATATGTGTGTAGGATGGACGTGCACAGCGCTAATACGCAAAACTTGATTGCTGGCTGGACGTTTTTTCTGGTAGACAACAAAAGACTAATGCGCTAAATGCGCTAAATAGTTTTCATATGCTGCTGTATTCTGACTGACTAAGACGAAAAACAATAGACGAGAGACCGAGAGACTAAACGAAACGCTTCACCATGCATGTCGATGTGAACTGTTGGCTATAGTTTTTCCTTTTTTCCCCATGGGTGCGCGGAAGTGTCGTGGGTTTCAATGGGTTTCAATGTCACAAAAGTCATCCGTTCAAAAGGCAATAAAGGACAGATGTTTCATTGTTGACTGCAATGTTCTATGTTTACGGTTGCTCCGCTTTTCACCCCTTGGCCCTTTGCCATGGCGCGCAGAGAGCGGCGCGCCAAGCGGATGGCAGATTGGTATGGACTTGCCGTGGAAGGCCTATACCCGGGTTTGACGGCGAATCGAGTCCTTCCGGGCATGTCCAAAAAGTAGTTGTGAGCCATATGGGAGATGATCGAAAACCCAGCGTAAGGAGTTTAATATAAAACAGCCTTTTAGATGTTGTTAAAACCCTCCGCGAAAGCTTCGCGATGAGGTTCGCGAAAGTACATGTTTTTCGCGAAAGATTTATCGAAGGTTCTGGTTTTAATATTGGTTCTCCTTTTATGGCCCACTGGATAAAAAGCTTCTACGTAGAACTTTACTTGGTTTCAGTTTGTTTTGGGATGTCAATGTGTAGTGTAGCGTATGTTTGTGGGATTCCTGTATTATGTGTCATAGATCACAGATGTGTATAGTTGTCAGAGGCATTTGTGCTTGAAGCAATCTAGCCACAGAGATGGCGCCAAATACAGCCAAAGTGCAATCACCTGGCTGAGCCAGTTTGAGCCAATGGGGAAATCATTAATGATTTTTCGCGAAAGATCCGCGAAAGTTTCACGAATGTGCCGATAAAGTTCTGCCTACCAAACTTGACCCCACCCCCATACCCCAACGACCTGGAATAGGGATGTGGGGCTGCTGGTCTGTCAGCTTTGGATGACGGCTGTATCAAAGTGGCGCAGGATTTCTTCTTCCGCCCACCGTATCTCTATATATAAATATACATGACTCTCTGACTCACCCAAAACATGTTAAGTAACCAACCTCTCTTGAGGAACATGCTTCGCGATGAGGTCGCGAAAGATCCGCGAAAGATATCTGCTTTTTCGCGATGAATGGCCATTCCAGGATGAAAGAATATTGATCAAACATCATATGTTGTAGACAAGAAGGTACAGCGGAACATTATATGGCATATTCATACCCAAAGATGCGCCACCGGCATGACAGGTGAGCGCGGCGCTGCGGCAAAGAAGCAGTGTGTTGCGCGAGCCGAAGAGGCCCGGCTCTCATGCTGAGCGTTCAGCTGTGCGCAAGGGTACGGATTGAAATAGGACAGAACAAACTACACAGTGCACATTCTGAGAACAGTTAGCACAGCAACGACGCCACGACATGTGTCATGAGGGAACTTTACGAAATCTTCATGGCTGCAGGTCGCTGACAAGCTTCCTCCAGGCGGATTACGCCGAAGCGCTCCGCGCCGTTTTTTTCGAATCATGTTTGATTGTCGTGATGCGAGACACTTCGGCTATTAGTGAATGAGTGACACAAACGCATTAGCCGTTGACAAGTTGACACATTGACAAGTGATCTACCAATCACAGATCATCGCCAGGTCGGTTTGCCTATAGGCTGCATTAGGTTTTCCTTGATCCGATTGAATGCGGAAAGCTTGGCACAGGAGCTGCGAAAGGTCTGCAAAATGCAGCACCTTCAGGTGAGGAGTGGGGAGACGGTCGATGACAGGGCCACTACCCATATCAAGAGGTGTTTTCCTCACATAAACACTAAAATCAATTTACTGCTTAGTTCCTTACTTTTCACATACCATGGCATGGCTTCTTCAGTTGTCTCCTGGAAACGAATGGGAAAGTTTCTCGGATCGACTGTCTTTTCGTGGCTCAGGCCCGGAAGGCATTGATCCAATAACCATGGAGCGGCTTCTGTGGGGATCTGAAGTGAAACATAGAGACTGACAGTGAAGCACTTCAAGAAACATACCCTGTGAACTTTAATCCAATTTGATTCTCAGAGATTAGATTTTGGTCGAGGGCAGTCGGTGAGTTGTAATACAGCGTCCATCCAGATGGTCCCCCCTTAATTTCTATGATAGACTTCCATGCAGATGGTCGCCCCTTGAACCAAAAGCAATGTTTCGGTGGATTGTGAACGTCCGCTTTCGATCTTCCCGGTCGGATGGATATGTGGTCGTCACTGAGGAGCCAGGTGCAAAAAGGTGGTCCTTCGGTACAAAACGAAGCGCTCGTCGCAGTGACAGGCCACTGGAACGGCGTAGAGTTATGAAGACACAGATGTAATGATATTTGAGATGTATAGAAGGTATCAGACTTTTCTTTTTTCACATGTTCTCCAGAGAGCTGGTTGAAAGGTTTTGATCAGAATCCTTTTGATGAAGGACTTCTTTTGACAGACTTGGAAGTGCATTGTTTGTTTTGTGTTTTTAACCATCGGATGTTTGCGATGTCCCAGGCCTTCCGCCACAGCATGCGGCAAAGCTCTTGGAGTTTGCCCTTGAGAAGTCCAAGGACACCCGCTTCGTCGAATCGGGGATCTGGCGAGGTGGAGGTGAAGGGTCGAAGCAGAACAGTAAGCTTAGATAAAGGATCTTAGCCAAGTATCATTGTCCTGCGAAGGTCTGCGGAGTGTGAAGAAGAGTAAACACAACAAAAGCAAACAAACTCTTCAAAAGCCATGCAAACTGTCAAAGCATCAACAATATACGTGCTATTCATGCTTATTCTTTTTTGTAAGTCATGGTATGTGGTTGCCCCATCCAGGAGCTACGGGACCCGTCGATGTATATGGTGTCCACGGTGGCAAGGCCAGTGCGTCGTTGGGGAGACAATGCTTTCGTGACCCGTCGGATTGTATTCCGGGTGCAGAAAGGTGAGTCGGGCGACGAAATCCATACTCCGGTGGTGTAGGACGCCGCTCCAAAGAGAAACTAGAACTATGGTGCCGAGCGAACATAGAAACATATGATTTGTTGAGCTTACGAAAGCTGATGCTTCAACAAAAACGTACATAGGTTTGTGCTCTGGCTTGTGTTTTGCGCTTGTTAGTTTCACAATCCATGTGGAGCAGAGTCTGATTCTAGCCACCAAAAAGAACATGTATTGCTTTGCAAGAGTGACTCTTTCTTTACAGTTTACCTGCGTAGACCATTTACATCCGCACCACCTGGCAGGGGCTTCAAGCCCAGATGGCACGCCAGGGTCTCAGATTTGGCAGAATTGCGGGCAAGTTACGGAGTTGCAGGAACTTTTGTTTAACGCTCAAATCAACATATTTCTGGCGGCCCGACATGGACAAACAATTCAATCAATGCGCCCTGGGCGTTTCAGAGTTGCACGCTGAGGAAATGGTGGAGGCCTCTGTCCCTTCCAAAGGATGGTTCGACGCGTTGCAAAGACGCAAGGATGATTGGCATGCGAAAATGACGGAGACATTCTTTTAACTCTTTCAACCGTATGATCACGTGGCTTTTGGGAGCCTCATTTGTTTTGGCACGAAGCCACTCATGAATTGAATTCACCAAACACTATGTTCATATCTGCGCGGGAATCAATCCGGTTGATGGTTATCGAAAAGATTTTTCAATCGGTACCTTTGTGAGGAAAAGGCGTACAACTTGAGCTGGCGCAAGATCGAAAGCCGCAGCCTGGCTTGAACGCAAAAGCGGCCGTACTCTTTTGAAAAGCGTAACAAGCTTTTGAACGTCATGCCAACCGTTCTAGGCTTCGGGAACCATCAGCCATCAGCGCTTGTATCCAAGGCACAAAGCCAGGAGTGTTCTACTGGGAGAATTTTCACACAGGCCAGAGATCAGTGGACGACGCTTTGGCTGATTCATTAGTTGCAACGCATGCTTCCCAATATACATGTGCAATAATTGAACAATGAAAAACAATGAGAAACCGATCTAAGGACCCGCGACGTCCGGTTTCTCCTTCCCCTGTGCGTTTGTTTTCGCTTGCTCGCGCCGCCCGGTGTGACAGGGTGATGTTTGTTTTGTTTTTGCTTGCTCGCGCCGCCCGGTGTGACAGGGTGATCTTGCTTTTGCATAGCTTTGCATCTTTGCGCGCCGCCCGGTGTGACAGGGTGATGTGTGTTCTCTTTTTGCTTGCTCGCGCCGCCCGGTGTGACAGGGTGATGTTTTTTTAAGCCTATTTTGTTAGCTGTGCTCAGTGTGACATTGTAATGTTGGATTTGCTTGCTATCGCATCGCCTGGAGTGGCAGTGTGATGTTCTTTGCACGAGCTGACATTCTGGAGGAGCACTGGAAATGAAAGTGATAAGTCCAAACACTGTTTTTTACTTACGTTATCCGTCTAAAGGGATGCCATGGCTTTTTTTTGTCAGTCCTCAGTAAAGATCTTCCTTAGAGGTATCAACCGCGCCAATGCACACTTTGGATTTGGATTCGGTATTTTTCACATTAAGCTACTACAGTCAAAGGTTGAGGCTGTGAAGATAAGTTCTCCTTGTGATGATAGGTCCAGTGGTGAATATGAAAGTACTACTACGGCGGATTTACTACCCACTATGCAGCGTCTTTCGGAGCCAACAAAATAGATTGTAAGGTTCTTCAAAGGGATAATGTAACTTTGCCTTTTCAATGTTTACTATAAGTGTTTTTCAGCTATGTCCCTTACTTGGCTCAAGTTGGATGACATGGAGCGTTTGTTTGGCCGCCAGTGCCATACTTTGTAGAGTCTGAGCCAGCAGGAGAATTAGAGCAGCTAGCCTTGACTTCATTGGTTAAGAATTATTCAGATAGAAATTATATGTTCACCAGAGCAAGTGAGTTTGGTAAAGCGGAGCTAGCACGCTGCAAACGGAGTTAAGGTAGAGAGAATGCCCACGCCTAAGGAGCCAGGATGCAAGGGAGCGTGTGGGGAGCGGAGCGCGTGGGGAGCGGAGCGCGTGGGAGCGGAGCGCGTGGGAGCGGAGCGCGTGGGAGCGGAGCGTGTGGGGAGCGGAGCATGTGGGGAGCGGAGCATGTGGGGAGCGGAGGTGTGGTGAGCGGAGAGTGTGGGCAACGGAGTGCGTGGGGGCGGAGCAATCGGGTAGTGGAGCGCCAGGTATGATGAGGAGCTGCTAAACCATAACTCTGTCACGTAGAAAAAGAAGCGCACATGGCTAGACGGGCGCGGTGGACAATTGGGTCAGGCGATGGCTCTATTTCATCTATATGAGATGCAAGTCGAAAATCATTGGATTCTAGAAGTATGCAATCGCCAAACTCCGGAACACTGATGATGTAAATGCTGGACTTTAAACAGCATGCAAATATGTAAGCAGTGAAGGCTGATTCGAGCAGGGCCTTAGTGACACTGTAATTAAAGCGCACGGGTTGAACTTAACTATTAATATGTCTCGTGCAGCGCATTCTGGCTCGTTTGCCCGCTCGATCTGGTCATTTGCTCGTTTTGCATCGCGTGGGGCCCATGGCGGAAGGGTGTTTGAACGGTTCATCATGCAAGACGAGAGACTTGGCTAAAAATATCTTTTTAAGTATGTATGACATACAAAATTGCCTTGCTCTTTGCGCATCCTCCTAAGGTGTGGCCTCAATCTTTGACCCTATTGGTGAACGCGCTCACAGTTCGGGCGAAATTGCTCTTGGCCGCTTCTTCGTGAACTGGTTCAGCTGTCAGTGCTTCTTGTTAGCAGTGATCTTCACCCGATAGGTCTGAAATCTGCCACTGTAAGTGCATCGGCTGGACACTGGACAGGTTGTAAGAGGTCCGATGATTTTGGTTCGCTTTCAGGCCCGGCCTGGGGTTTTGCCATGTATCAAGCGACGGAGCATATCTAACAAGTTGACTTTCACTTTGCTGTGGCAGGCCCTTTCACTGATGTTGATTGCGATTGGCTGCGGCAAGGCGAAGTGCAACGCATTTAAACTATACGGGTGATGCTGTACATTGATTCTTGCCTAGGACTGCTCTTGCCTTCTCTGTTTCGCCTGGATCTGGACGAATATAATGGAGTATGGTGTGCGCCGACAGAATTGGCATTTAGTTTAAAATTGTTCTAACTTTTTGTACTGCACTGAAGCACAAACATGTTGCACAGGTTGTAAGTGGTCTGATGATTTTGCTATGCCTTCAGGCCTTTGATTTCGCATTATCAATGAAAAGGAACGAATTTGCCAACCCGATTTTGTTGCGACAGGCCCTTTCACTGACACTGATTCTGGGTGGTCGAAGCCAGGAGAAGTTTACATGGTTTCGAGGAATAAAAGATGTGAAGCTGCAGAATGGCTTGCGCAGGATTGCTTTGGCCTTTTGTATCTCGGGGATACCTGGAAGAATATGATGGAGGATGGTGTGTCTTGAAGCACTTGGTGATCACATCCTAGCACCAACCTAGCGCATGTCAACACAGATTTTTTATACAAGGCGATTGTTTCATGGCGTCTATCATCGGGCGCTGTTGCGACCAAGCAGATTTGGCAACACGCTCCAACTGCTCCTTGCCTTGCCTTTTCAGTGTGCAATATCTAAAGCATAGTTGATTTGCCCACTGCGAGTGAACAAGGCGACTACTTTATGCAGGGAATCATCCGTCGTCTTACTCACGTATGCCATGCCGGTTGCTATGAAACCATTCAATGTGCCTTGGCCGGAAAACAGCGGAATTGGTTTGAATTTGCGTGAGTTTGCAATGATACCTGCCAAGGGCGCAATTCTGGATTTGGATTGAAGCAAGTTGCCACTGGTGGGTGCAAAGTCAAGGAGTCAAATGTGAAGCTGATTTCTTGCCCATTGTGGTGTGACTCGCTTGTGAAATACAAGGTAGTACGCTCACATGCCACAGGTGTCTCATGTCGATACCGTAGATGCACATGGTAGCCTGCAGGTGATGCCCTTGCGTGGAAGATTGCGAGGCGGTGTCGCAGCACGACTTCATTTCCAGTGGGGCTGGAGCTTCCCAACTGGAAAAGAATTTCGCGGAAGCAGTGGTACTTCCGATTCAGGCTTGGACATATAGCTGTTGAGATTTGCAATTGAATTAAAATTCTTGTAAGGGGGCAGCGAGCGGCTCCACTACATGAACCACATGCAGAGGCTGAAAAGCAAGCGGCAGCTTTGTTCGCCTTGTTCACATACTGCTGCTGTCGACCCGAGGCTCCAGCGCAGTCAAGAAATGATACTGGTCGGCTGCAGCCTAAGGTTTTTATAATGCTCAACGATTTGTGATTTTGTCGAGCTTGCTGCATTGCGGCCAAGGCCCGGAACTGATGAAGGTATAACATGCCAAGGCGGGCGTAACTACATCCTTCTCCAGTTTCTTGCTTGCTGTGTGTCCTTAGCCTTTGTAACCAGCAGATACCTGGTGCTTTCCCGATTCACTCTCATGACGCCAGTTCCACAAACAGCTGACTTCCAAAAGAATGCTGCTATGTGGAGTATCTGGGTCCAATTCAAATTGCAGTGGTGGCTTAACACTTTCTGTGAGCCGCCCACATTCTTATTTAAGGTGATTACTTTATGAAGACGATTGTCAACCGCTTGACCTGTGAAGTTGGTCAACGGTATCTTGGCCGAGAGAAACTAAATGACCATATGTGAAGTTTGATATCCCAGGCCACCATTGTCCAAGCGCCAGAAGCGGCGACGGTACGAGGAGCGCTACTGGGAGAACGTCTACACCAACGCAATTGGCAGGCATCAACGCATTCTCCGAAGGCGGGAACTAGCTTTTGAAAAGCTCTTCGAGGCAGGGTCGTCAGTGCAAGCTTACATGACAAGATATAGGTCATGAAAAGGGTAGTCTTGAGGAATCTGTGAGTGTGTGGCGCGTGTAGTCGTCAGGAATACGAGTGCATAGTCCAAGCAGAAAGGGAGAAGATGACTATGCCAGATGCCCTTTCTTTTTCTTCACCACCCCCAGGCGCATCGGTTTTTTAGAATGAAAAAGCAGAAACCCACCCACATGTTACATGCAGTTCTGCTTGGTGCCTTTGCTGCAACCTTCTTGAGGACCATGCGCTACTACCAGCAAGCCTTTGGTGCAAAGACGCTTCACGGAAGTGTGCCTAGTGGATGCGTTTCGCTCCATTGGCCTCAAAGTACCCTACACTGGTGATGGGCCATTTTGGGCTGTGGAGGATGGCCAAAAGATGCTGACTCCTTTGAAGTGCCTTGGTGTATTTGGTAAGAATGTCTTTTTGCTTTCACTCCTCAGTTTCAACCCAAGCTACCTACATGACCAAGT